ATATTTAATTTTCCAGGGGAGCATAAAACATAAAAACATCCTCAAATAAATATTAAGCCTAAATTTTCATATGCAGTTAGTTCATAACATAATCTGAATGCCAGACTAGTACAGTCTTTCGCCTAAATGAACGTCGTAAGACTCCCTGTGTAGATGATTGCACATCCCTTTAAATTCATCGGTTCATCTGGCTGTACATTGCACCTAAGTTAAGTATCAAAATCGAATTCAATATCCGAATAAATTGATGAATGCGGCGCATACATTATATTACGCCGATTTCTCCTATTCATTTTCCCATTCACTTCAACAATATATGAACGAGGCGTTCCAGCACATTTAACAATTCTTCCAGTGGACTCCCACCCATGTTTAGATTTAATTTTCATTTTATCACCCGGTTTAAGTTCTTTTAAATTTCTTGCACCATATTTTGAATTATAATACACTTCCCCTTTTTGCTTATATGATTTATCAGCCACTCGAATATCTTTCTGGTTTGGTGTATAAGGTTTGAGTTTCACAGAAAGTTGAGGTAGAGTTGTACGTATCTCTCTTCCCATAAGTAATACAGAAGGACGTAAACCCAATCAATGTGTTGGTGTTAATCGATAAGCCATTAAAGCTGAAAGTTTGTTTAAGAATGTTATTGGAAATATGCACTGCTTTCTCTGCTTGTCAATTTGCTTGATCATGGTATGGACTAGTAGTGACATGTTTAAAGTTGTAATCTTGTGCAAATTGACGAATTTCTCCCAAAAGCTGGGGACCGTTATCGGTGATAACTGTTTCCGGAATACCAAAACGAGCAAAGTCAACTTTCAAAATGTTAATCACAGCAGCATAGCATGTATTTCAATCCATTTCGAATAACAGTCCACTGCTATCAAATACTGGTTACCATCTACTTCTGCCAAATCAGACGCAATGCGTTGCCATGGACGATTTGGAAATGGAAACTGAATTAGTGGTTCTGCCCTTTGTGATGATTGTTTCCTTGTACAATGTTCACACCTGCTTACATATTCTGCAATATGTTTTCCAATTGAAGGCCACCAAATCGCTTCTTCAGCACGAAGTCGGCATTTTGTTATTCCCTTGTGTTCCTGGTTAATTCTCTACGGCATCTCCACTTGCAGTATTTTAGGAATTATGCGCTCACCAAAAGTCAAAATACCATCAATCATACTAATTGGATCTTGAACATCCCAAAATGGTTTAATATTTTCTGTTACATCTTTAGCATATTTAGGCCAACCATGGTTTACATAGGAAGAAACAATAGTTAACGTTTTATCATTAGTTGTCTCTCGAACAATTTCCTCAAGTCTTGCATTAGATGCAGGCCAATGTTTGGTAACCATTCTCACATGAGCCAATAATTCCTCTTCTAAATTTTTATCTTGTCGTTCTGCAACATAATTAGGATGAGGAGCACGTGACAATGTATCGGCAACAACCATAAGTTTACCATGTGTATACTCAGCATGACAATTATACTTCATAAGATGTATCAAAAGCCTTTAACATCGCAATGGAGGATCACATAAGTCTTTAGAGTTAATCAATTATACGAGAGGTTTATGGTCAGCTTGTATTATTATTTTGAGTCCCCTAAGGTAAGTATAAAAACGATCACATGACCATACAGAAGCCAAAAGTTCCTTCTCAATTTGAGCATATTTCCTCTCAGAAGACGTTAATGTAAGCGAACAATAGGCAACAGGTCGCCATGTTCCATCACTTTGACACTGAAGTACACAACCTCCAATTCCATAAGCACTAACATCAGCACTGACCAGAGTTGGTTTTACTGGATCATAAAATGCCAATGTTGGTGTAGAATATTTAAGACAGCTAAATGCTTTCTGCTGATCAGGACCCCATATCCAATCAACGTTATCTCTCAACAAATCATTTAGCGGTACAGCTATAGTAGATGTTTCGTTGCGATATTCAGTCAGGCAATAAGACGAGACTCAATCATATAGTAACTGTTCAGGAGAGTATTTATTGTGGGTACTATTCGTGTGCTACAGGATTAAGCTGGATCACGTTGGAGAAAATGATTAGAGTGTATAGTGCCCTCAGGCGTAACAATCACGCAACATCTTCCCTTCTTTAATTGAGAAGTTTCTTTAATACAGTTCTGTTAATATAAGCTAATGGATTTTCTTGGTGTAGTTACTAAAGGGTATGGTTAAACTTACTTACATATATAATATGAGCATAACGAATTGTTCTAAAATGTTTCATTATGTCTTCCGTTTGTTTTTTTTTTCTAAACTGTGACTAAGTATTTATGAATATTAATTATCAACCATTTGAAGCATGCATGAGTCATTATTTCTTCAGTCTTAATTGTATATCATATATACACCAGCTACAACATGTATAGCATATAAATCAGAGTCCAATCAAGTGATGATGATTATTGATCAGTTATAAGGGACAATTATATCGGTTCCATCAGATGCTGATGATAAGTGTCAAACAAATGTTCATTATTAATCAGCGTCTGCTCAAAGTTTCAGTTACAAATTCAGCCTCTACACACGTTTGCTGATTCTTCCTGATCTCGTTACATAGTTTTCTTTGGTTGTTGGTTGTGGCCTGCTTGTTTGTTTCTGTGGTGATTTTGTTTGTGGTTTCCCAGTAGGTTCCCTTGGTTTTCTGTCTGTGCCTCCAACCGGTGTGATCTGTGTTTCTTGATGGTTGTGTTCTTGTCTGGATCTTAACAATTTTCGACCTCTGCGGTAGGTCCTTCCGTCATCAGTAACTACTTCATAAGAACGGGCACTTAAGCGTTTGGCTACTGTCGCCTGTTTCCATCCCTTCTTGCCCGCTGTATTGGCTGGATTCTCACTGTGTCGCCGGAGTGTAGTGGCGTCAAGTTTTTTTGTGTAAATGCTTTGCCGCTACTGTTTGGCGTTTGTCTTCCTGGTTTCTTTTAATGTCTATGCCTGGCTTGAGAATGGTTGTTGATGTTGGGACAAATGTTTTGGTTCTCCGCCCCATTAGTCTTTGGACTGGACTAGCCCGACTCCCTCTGTGGGGGTGTTTCTGATGTTAAGGAGGTCAAGGTAGGGATTTTCTCCTGCTGCAAATGATCTTCGCTTTAGTCGCTCTGCAGTTTTCACAGCTGCTTCTGCTACTCCATTTGATGGCTGTTTCCTGGACTAGAAGTATTGTGTTGGAAATTCCACCTGGCACTAAAAGACTTTCCAGACGTGTACTGCGGGCCTCCATCACTAATTACAGTGTCTGGCAATCCATGTCTTGCAAAATGATGTTTCATCTTTGTTATTACAGCTTCACTAGTAGTTTCAGGGAGGTAGTCTATCTCAAAGAAGTTGCTGTAATAATCAGTGGTTATTAGGTAGTCTCTGCCTTCAATGCTAAATATATATGTGCCCACTTTTGCCCATGGCCTGTCAGGAACAGGGTGTTGATATAGTGGTTCTGCAGACTGTTTGCAGCTGTATGTGGCACAGATATTACAGCTTTCGACAAACTGTCGAATTTGGGCTGACATGCCAGGCCAAAACACTAGCTCCCTAGCTCGACGGAGACATGAGTTGATTCTCATGTGGCCTGCATGTACTTTCTTTTTGATTCGAGGTCTCATTTGGGCCGGGAAGACAATTCTTTTTGCTCGCAAGGTGACTCCATCTTGAACTGTTAGTTCGTCTCGATAACTGAAATATTGCGTCAATGAATTGTCAATCATACGTTTGTCTCTTGGCCAACCTTCCGTTATGGTTGTTTTTAACTTGACAAGTACGTCATCTAGCTGTGTTGCTCCCCTAATTTCATTCACGCACTCAGCATTGACTGGTAGTAGCTTTATATTGCTTACAGTGTCTGTTTTGGTACCGGTTTGGTCGTTTTAAGGTGCTCGGGAGAGAGTATCAGATAGCGTCATTAGCTTCCTGGGCTGGTATGCAAGATCAAAGTTGTATTCCTGGGCACGAAGCAGTGCAATATTTTCGGTGCTTTTGCTAGTGGTTTTAACACAATTGACACCAATGGTTTGTGATCTGTGATCACATGTACCTGTCGACCATAAGTATAGTGGTAAAACTGTTAAGGCCATACGTCACCGCTAACATTTCTTTCTCGATCTGTGCGTACCTGCGCTCAGTGACTGTGAGTTCTGCTGGCAAAAGCGACAGGTCGTCCCTCCTGCAACATGGCTGAACCTAAGCCATACTCACTTGCATCATTTTCAAGGACAAGTTCTTTGTTAGGATCATAAAAAGCTAGTACTCGTGCCTCCTTGACCATAGTCTTGATTTAGTCAAAGGCTGTTTGTTGAATATCAGACCATGTCCACGTGACATGTTTCTTCGTTAGGTGGTTTCATTACGCCATGGAGTTTCGGCAGGAATTTTGCTAAGTAATTACCATTCCGATGTATCGTCTCAGCTCACTCACAGTGCTTGGGCGTGAATGTTCGCAATTGTAGTTACTTTTTCTGGGTCTGACTGCACACCATCTCTTGTTAGTTTGTGCCCCATGAATGTTACTTCAGTGAAACGCATTTCAAGTTTGTTTTTATTGAGTTTGATTCCGATGCTCTGGCATCTATCCAAAAACTGTCAAGTTCACGTCATGTTCGTCCATGTCTCTTCCATGTATGATAACGTCGTCAGCTATGCATACAACTCCAGGTAAACCCTCTAACGCTCCCAGTCGTTTCCATCTATATCTGCCATACGTGGTCTGGAATGTCGTCAGCAAGCTTGACTCATAATCTAGCTGTACATGCCAGTATCCTGATGATAGGTCTGCCTTTGTGAATACACGTGACTGGCCTAATTCGTGTATGGTGTCTTCTAGTATCGGTAATGTTTGCCGTTCTCGGAATAGGGCTTTGTTCAGCTTCCTTGGGTCAATACATATTCTGTATTCATCTGGCTTCTTCTTTGGCGGAACAACAAGTGCGCTACACCATGGTGTTGGCTCATCTACTCTAGCAATAACACCCAAGTCAACCAACCTGTCCAATTTGTTGACATTGTGCCGTATTGCTATCGGTACCCTGCGAGTTGGCATTATAGTAGTCTTTACTGTTTGGTCTGTTTTGAGACTGACTAATCCTGGTAGTTTTCCAAGTCCGCCTTTAAACACATCGAGATGTGTGTCCTGACCCACTACCATAGCTATTCTGTCCATGTTTTTCATGTTGATCTTGATCAGTTGCATTTGCTGTGCTGCCTTAAATCCCAAAAGTGGAGTTAGGTCGTTGTTTGTAACTACAAACTCTATCGAGTACTTCTTTTTGTTGACTGGATTCCGGATTGTGCATCTGCACACTACTTTTGATTCCACCTTTGTGTCATTCCACATTGTCAGCATCTTTGTTTTACCAGTAATATTGTCAGCAAATTTCTTAGGTGATGTGTTAACAGTGGCCCCAGTGTCTACTTGAAAAATGACATCTTCTCCATCTATAGACATTCTGCATTTAAAATCTCTACTCCCCGTTTTGATGTGGTTTATCCACTCCTTATCATCATTTGTTGAGTCATCATCGACATGGTGTACTTTCTTTGGTTGCTTCTTTTTTGTTTTGAGTGGATTTTCATCTACTAGAAAAGTGGTTCAGTTGCTTGCATGTGTTGCAAGTTTTTTCCCCATGCTGGACACATTTCCTTCTTTCGTACGTGTGTCTGACCACAAAATAGACATATAATCATTGGGTTAGATTCCTTCCTGGGGTTAGATGGTCGTTCTGCACATTTAGAAGTTTCCCTTTTGTGGTAGGCTTCTTGCGGTAGACCTTGTTTATAGTGGCTGACTCCAAGTTTTCAGCTGGGCCTCGGCTGTCTTACAAATGGCTATTGCGTCTTGCAATGTCAGATTTATTTTCTCTAGCAGTGTTTTTCTCGTTGTACTATCCCGTACACCTAGCACTATCCTATCTCTCATGAGAGCATGTTCTATTGCTCCAAAGTTACAAGTTTTGGCTAATGTGCGCAGTGCTGTAACATATGCTTCGGTTGTCTCTCCTACTTCTTGGTCTCTTGTTGAACATGTATCTTTCATAGGTTTCATTGACTTCCCCTTTAAAGTAGTCGTCAAACTTCCTAGTGATAGTGTCTACATCATCTGCATCTTCTTGATCAGTAAAGGTAAGGCTGTTGTATATCTTTACCCCGTTTGGTCCAACAACATGCAAAAATACAGCTTTCTGATATGCTTTACCATGCTTAGACAGTTCAGTTATAATCGCATTGTTCTGATACATTTGTTTGAAAATCTTCCACTCGGCTAGCCCACTCTCCTTTAGTTTAAGAGCTGGTGGTGGATTAACATTAGTAAGTGGCCGTACAGGCCGCTGTTGTTGTTGCTCTCCTTCCGCCATACCTTCGTTAGTTTTCTAGGCTATAGGAGGTACTGTAGTTTTGGCGTACTCACTTGTGAAACGTTCACCGGATGGTCGTCGTGTGTATATGCCTAGCTAGGCCTGTGTAGGAAAGTCAACGTTCTTCCTAAACCAGTTTGAATCCTTAAAACACTACTGCCGCTGCCACCATGTTTCTTGGCGATATTCAGTCAGGCAATAAGAGGAGACTCAATCATATAGTAACTGTTCAGGAGAGTATTTATTGTGGGTACTATTCGTGTGCTACAAGATTAAAGTGGATCACGTTGGAGAGAGTGATTAAAGTGTATAGCGTCCTCACTCGTAACAATCACGCAACAGTAGATGAATTAGGAATAGTAAATCTAGAAACCCAGTTAATATTTCCCAGCGTTCCAAAGCATTTAACATCCGACTTTGAAGTTGGTACTGGCATATTTACAATTAGCTTGTAGACCATCCTTATTAAGGGTGTGTCCAAGAAATTGTACTTCAGTGTTTGACAGATAAGATTTCTCCCTATTCAGACGAAGACCTATGTTGTATATAGTATCTATAACTTTATGCAGACGATCATCGTGTTCTTCCTGAATGCTTCCTGTAACTAGAACATCATCAATATAAACAACTAATCCTGGAATATGAGCTAACATATCACTCATAATTCGTTGATACATGTTCGGCGCTGAAATTATCCCAAAAGGTAAACGCTGAAAACAATATTTTTCAAATGGAGTGATAAATGTTGTAAGTTTTTGACTATTTTCCTCAATAGGGATTTGCCAAAATCCTTGCTTAGCGTATAATGTTTAAAACACTTTTGCTACTGTAATTTTCCCAATTTCATCCTCTATTGTTGGAATTGCAAAACGTTCACGCACAACACATTTATTAAGATTTCTCAAATCCACACACAAACGAATTTGACCATTTTTCTTTGGAGCAATTACAATTGGAGCACACAAATGTGTTGGTTCTCGGATTCATTTAATTACACATTGCTCTTCCATACGAATTAATTCCTGTTTCACCTTTGGTAGTAACGGTATTGGAATGCGACGTGGAGTATGTACACAATACGGCACAGCATCAGTTGCAATTTTAATTTTACCTGGTGGACTTTTAAGACATCCTAACCCTTCAAATATGTTAGTAGATAATGTATTAACTCACTTTATTAATCCCAGAGATTTACAAACATCTTTACTAAGTACATGCTCTCTTTTGTCCAAGACAAGAACATTTACTATAGTTCTGCAACCTTTTACTGTACAATCCAATGTTATTTCTCCTAAAGGTATAGCCTCTCCTCCGAAGAATCCAATCAATCTCATAGAATTAGGTTGCAAAGACTTATTTTTCAAATTTCAGCATATCAAAAACAGATTTTTTTAAGATATTCATTTCTGAACCAGTGTCAAACAAAAACATAACATTATGATTTTGCACACATACTTCATGCCAGGTGTATCCAATAATATTTAAATCTGTCCACATCCGTCAACTCCAGAGGGCGCAATATTACAACACTGACATATATGGTGGCATCTTCTGACGCTTCAGTAGCTCCTTCATGACTGAATATTTTGTGAATCGATGGTTGACTTTCGAAAGGGTTTTTCACCAGTATAAGGCAATTCAACAAAAGGACGCACATCTCGGGACATCAAAGGATATAACCACTGATCTCTACTATAATAGTAGCAATTATAAGTCAATCGCGACGTCATCACTGCAACTCCCAGTGTTATTTGCCTATACCCCACAGTCCAATAATTTTTCAATTTTTGGTCACCGCCAAAATTGAATTACAATTGAAACTTTCGTAAAACAAGGTTAATTAGAACCCGAAGAAAGTTACGGTACTTTAAATTGTATTTTAAATATCACTGTTACAAGTAATCAATTCCTTGAATCAATGAACCCTATTAAAGTAAATATACTGAAAGTTTAATAGGAATATTCTAGACCTTTTTTAAAGACTCAACGAACGAAATTAGATGTAGGCGCGGCCGGCCAAGCAGGAGGCCACCGGGGCCTCCTCCTACTACTAGCCTAGGCCGTAGCTTAGTAGTTATGAAATTATCCAACGATTTTTACCTGTCAGCACCGACCAAAAAATTAGTGACAGTGACTGTATTCTCTTTCGAATGCTTTAAAAATGTTTAATTCTTTGACGAATGTGAAATATTACAAACAAGTTCTTCCAACACAATACAAATTACAAAATAAGCTAGTTTAGGTATTCATCATATCCGCACTGTACACTGCAGCGCTGATGTGTACTGTAGGAGCACAGCATGCATACGCACAGCTAAATGTAAATACGCATACAGTATACTGATCTTATCACTATAGCA